TGCTTTGCCCCGCCAGAAGAAACCTGATGAGGGTGCACATAAGTCTGTCAGCCTATAGTAGCAGAATGCAAAAACCTGATAGCAAATGGAGGCAGTGAGCAGGACATTGGCTACAACAATGCCAAGAACGTGACCGTGATAAGAATCCACAAACAGTGGCAGACAAAATACCTTTACTGCCAAATAAATCCCACACAAAACGATTGTAATGGTGCGATTAGATAGCAAGGGGTTACCGCTGTCAGCACACTGCTTCTTGCCATGGCAGATTTATCGTCATTATGAGCCGGACTGTCCATTGTATTAAGGGTGACTTAATCAAGAGTCTGGGCCTATGGGCCAAGTTTTACTCAATATCACAAGGGAGAGCTTCTAAAAAAACAGTGCATATGTATAGACCATAGTTCAGTAACAGGCGGACCGCGGTCCGGATCCGGACCCAGACGCCGACCTATACGGACCCGGACGTATAATCAATACATTAATAGGAGATTTCAATTTTGATGGGGCAATTATATTTTAACCGCCACCGACAGGGGGCGAAAGAGACGAGTGAGCGATACAGGGAGAGAAACACAGAAGAAGAGACGAGAGAGCGGCAGAGAGAAGCGGAGAGGAAAGTAAGTGAGTGAAGAGAAGAGTTAGCGATACAGGGAGAGAAGCGGAGAGGAGAGTGAACAGGCGTGTTAGCGGCAGACAGGGAGAGACAAATAATTACACATGGCGCTCTCCAAGAAGAGGAAAGTGGACAGTGAGAACAGAGCTTTTAACCCTGAGTGGACGGACTCATTCATGTTCATCCTGCCCACTGGGAGCACAGAACCAGTGTGTCTCATTTGTTCACCGTGGCGCTCATTAAAAGTGCCAATGTGAAATGCCACTATGAGACAAAACACAAAGTGTTTGACCAAACATTCCCACTCAAGTCAGAACTGAGGTCACAAAAAATAAGCAGTCTCAGAGCCCAATATGATCAGTCCACCAGGATCAAAATTAAAACTAAATATCGTTCCAGGCTAACCAATGAGCACCTGCATGTGTGTATGAGAATGGCCCTGACACCATTTCAGCCCAGATTTAAAACTCCTGGCAGGACAAGCTCGAGCTCAATTCTCGCACTGAACCAAAGAAAGTGAGTGAGGGACTGCAATATAAGAGGGAAAGAAAGAGAAACTTTAAAACTGTTCAATTGTTATGATGTGTAAAGACTGATATTGTTCTATAATCGGCTGAAACTGTTAAGTCATGATGTGAAACGGTTAACAAAGAAAAAGGGAAACTCAAGCTGTTGCTACACTTTATTTGATTTATCTAAAATTAAGCACTTTTAAGATGCACACATTTTCAAAAGCTATTTTATTTATTTTCTCTATTTTATTTTTAAATGCAGCCCGAGAGGAACATTACACATATCCACAGTATTTTACTGTATAGTTCAATGTTAATTGACAATATATATTGTCATCACCCCAGCCACAAACTGTTCTTTCTGTTGCCGTCTGGCAGACGTTACCGCAGCATCCAGGCAAAAACAAAAAGATTCGGAGACAGTTTCTTCCCGCGGGCAGTGAGACTGTTAAACAATTGAACTGCTGAAACAATTTCAAAACATTCATCTTCTACTTAGTAATATATATCTACTATCTAATATATATCATTCCAATAACTTGTATATAGACTCGTACTGCACTATTCCACATACTCACTTTATTTTAGAACTATTTTTGTTTTTGTATTACTTTTAATATCTGTATTAATATGTTGCATTGTTGGAGAAGCCTGTGACATAAGATTTTCAACGACATAATTACTCTGTAGCTATGTTAGTTTGACAATAAAGAACCTTGAACCTTGAACCCCCTTATTGTTGTTTATGAATTGTACTCTCTTTATTTGATTGACAGTCAGTTGTTGATTACATGCAGACGTTGATAAAGCTACAGCTACTTCAATATATATCACACTAATTCATAAAGCAAGTTAGACATTTTGAAGTTCCGGACCTTTGCATGGGGAGATTTTCTCTAACTGGACCTTGTTGAATTTTAGTTGAATACCCCTGGTATAGACGGTTGCTTTTTAAGCCAAGTTTTATCAAAAACCCATGTAACCAGCCCGAATATCCACTATTAACACATTGCTAGGCAGTGCCTAATTAAAACCTGCCTGTTTGGGGCCATTTGCTTCGCCTCCAATGTTACTGCTTACAGGTTTTTTTCTTTTCTTGGACTTTTTGAGTTTTTGACATATGCCATTAATAATTGCCTAACTTCTGAAACACATCCCTGCTTGGCTAATGTCATTGATTCTAATTCTAAATTCTAAAACAAAGATAGAATCTTGGCACTCATTTTATCTTGGCTATCTTGGAAAAGCTGCGCTGCTGAATAGGTTCTAGAAAAATAATAATGAGGTGTCTGTTCTTTAACTCCTACATTCATGTGTCGTCACACATGCACCACTATGTTAGTTGTTAGGAGAGAGCCGCAGTGGGCGGGAGTGCTATTTACATGTGAACTCAAAAAGCTGAGCCTGAAAGTAGCAAGGCTTTTTTTAGCCATCAGAAGGCTTAAGCCCAGAAAGAAATCAATGAAATGAGAGATTCAAGCTGTGTTTACAACATATAAATGAACCAAGGTTTACTCCCTGATGCTGGAGTGGTTATACGCAAAGGAAAAGGGAGAAGCCATAGCCATGGATGGTTTGACGGATGAATTGAAGGGCTCAAATATGAAACATTATGACTATATTTGAGCAGTATAAAACTATTTAATTGGATATAAATAAATACGTTCATAGAGACAGCTGAGTCTTCCTGTGTGTGATGCATACTTGCATTGCGATGGTGCTCAATATTATCATTTTTATTGCAGTATTTTGTGTGAGCGTGTGAGCGTGTGTGTGTGTATTCTGTTGCACTATTTTATCTGTTGTATTTGTTCTATGTCCTATATATATGTATATGTTGCACTGTTGGAGGAGCCTGTGACTTAAGTTGTTCATTTCCATATCTACACTGTAGCTAATGTGCAAATGACAATAAAGCCTTGAAACTGAAACTTGAAATAAGCCCAAATTGTACTTTGTGAGAAAGGCACAGGGGTCATTTGCGTGTGTGGCATTTTCAACATGATTGATCTTGAGGAAACAGGATATAAGTGTACCTAGTAAACATTAAAGACAAGGCTATGTGTGAAAATGACACCGTCAACAAGCATGTAGTGATAGTGTGAATATCTAGACATGGAGAACTTTGGAGCTACAGCAAATGAGAGCAGCTCTACAAATGAACTGAGATTTACACACACATATTTTTAAGCTATTCTAGTATGCCCGACCAATACAAAGAACACTTTTAAGGTTAGGATAATGTCACTACTCATGTAGTTGCTTTTTACTGTTCTTTAGTAAGTGTGCAGAGCAATGTTGGTTTAAAATGGCAATTTGAAGGTTGGATATTTGTGGAAGTATTGTGTATATATTATTAATTTAAGAGGTAAATTAAGTCCAGTTTGATGTTACTATTAAAAAGAAGGTTCTAATTGAAATACTTCTTTTTATTGTCTTGTTCGGTGGCATAAATGTGTGCATTTGATACAGACACAGGAGCGGTTGCTTTAGGGCCTCATATATAGACCTTGGGTCAAAATAATGAAATCCTCGACCACGCTTAATGTAACATGAACAGATCAGCAAGTTTTCCCTATTTGAACACCAACAAACTATCCACACAGGGTTCTTCATTTCAGGAAGCTTCTCATCCATCTGCTTTTTAATCTCTAGCAGAGATGCTTTCTTTTCCTTTGCAGGAACTGTTGGATTTGGTGATGAAGGTCAGTTTGCTTGTTGCTTCAGCTTCCTCAGCATATTCATGATTTCTCAAGGGCACAAAGGTTTCCATCCTAGCTCTCTTCTTTCTTAAACCATACAGCTCTGTGAAGGCCTTGCTATTCAGGTCAAACGTATGCTGCTCTCTCTTTCTCTTCTCTTCATCCAGGTAGAAAAAAGTACTTTTTTCTTTGTGAGTTTGTTATCAAGTATGAAGTTAACAGTGTGTGTATTTTTTTCTGATGACAAAATTGATTGCAATAACTCGTCAAACCACCTGCTTGTAAAAGTGAAGGGATTCTTGTTAGCACCAAAGCAGCAGCAAACACCTCTCCAAGTGTACCTGGACACAGACATCTGTAATAGAAGATGCAAAGCCAGGGGAAACACATCTCTTCTGAGTGCCTGTGTCTGGCTTTGCCATGGTAACAGACTAATAGGGGCTAGCAATTTTTGGGAGGAAATAGGGAGGTATTGAGGTAGGTTGGAAGATGGGGATTTTCTTTTGTGTTGTGTGTAAACATTTTGTACAATCGAAATTGAATGTTCTTCTTTTTTTTTTTAAAGGTCACCTATTGTGCAAAATCCACTTTTTCATGTCTTTTAAAACATGTGTCCCCTCTGTGTAAAAAGATTCTGAACGTTTCAGGAAAAGAGATTCGCTCACTTTTTGTCCTGATCCATCAGATTTTGGCCACTTTGTCATAATGGTTTTTTTGGCTTGTGTAACCATTAGCCAATAACCAACCAAGGTAACCCCCCCACCTTATCACCTGAATCTCCTCCAAGAGCACCATTGTGTATTTTTTTAACCAAATATCTCTCAGAGGGGCGTGGGGAGTGGCTCCTTATTTTCATCTAAAGTAACAGACAGAGAATCTGCACTTTTGAAACAGGGCTGAAACAGAGGGGTTTGTGGGATGCTACAATGCATGATCTGTTTGGTATTTGGAGCCAAACACTTCAGAGACATGTTTGTATATATCTGAGACCTATAATATATTGATGAAAAACAGTATAATAGGGGACCTTTAAAGGGAATAGAATATGCGCAAACATATTTGACATGGCATTAGATAGTTAATTACGTAAAAATGTTTTTATACTATGTACTCATTAATAAAAAATAAAAAAAGAGAGATAACCGTGATGACACTCAAACTAAACTGTACCTGACAGGGTTGCTGTTGAGGGACACTCTCAGTGAGTCGAGACAGGCAAACAGGCGTTCGTCCATCACCCCAGACTTCAGCTCTCCCAGAAACTCCTGGGGAGATATCTGATGACTGCTTCTCAAGCTACCCTGGAAGAAAGAGGAAGAATACATCTCTTAGGTATAGCCATGGCAAAAGTTTTCAAGACAACATGAGGCCAAAAACAGAAACTGAATAGTCAATACACATACAGAAAAACCATTGTTGACAGTTTTATAAGTGGATTACAAAAGCACAAATGTGCCGAAGGATTATTTTCCAGTATTGCACTTGTCTCTTTATAACCCTGAAAATCTATTTAAGTCTCGTCGACTACTTGAAAAATGTTCATTCTAATAATCCTTGTCAGATGAGTGTGTATTTGTATTCTTCATTGGAGCAGCAGCATTAATGTTGTAAGAGAATTGCACTCAGAAGAGCAGATACCTTTGCCTACACTGCAGAGTGTAATAGTTACAAAGGAGCAGAGAAAAAAACATGGTTTCCTGTACAATACAAAAAATTAGTATTTTTTCCAGTTTTAATATTTTTATAATAATTAGAACCAGTTCGAATGAGCTGGATAAAAGAATATGAGCAGCATTAGAGACTTCACCTTGGGCTGTGATTGCTAACTTTAGACTAAGAAAATCCATAAATGTAATTATAATGAAAAAAGGTTGCTCTTTAAAATTGTAGTACAACATATTTGGCATGTTAGGAAATCACAAAAAATCTGATCATTTTCAAATAAATTCTAATTGTTAAGCGTTTTTCCTTTATTGAATTCAGGAAGCTAATCATGTTTACACATTTGTTGGAAAAGGGTGCGAAATGAGAATGAGAGAGATGAATTCAAGGTTTTTTTCCCAAGGTTTAAATGTTGTCTGATCGTATCACTTAATAAGAGAGTAGCTTTAATTATATGGAATTACAGGCTAATCAGCAATTGAACAAGACATACAATTAGATACTATAAGTAGGGGTGCAACAACTAATCGACTTAATCGATTAAAATCGATGACCAAATGAGTAGCCAACTAATTCAGTCCTCGATTCGTTGGTGACGTCATAACGTGTGTATTACGCGCCGTTAAGCTGCAACGTTATCGGTCTTTTTATCGGTACTGGAGACATTTAAAACAATAATGTCATATGTATTATTGCTACATAAACATTATATCGCAGTCTTCGTGTCGCCAACTCCGTTTCTAATATGCAATAAGACTACAAAATGCGTCTATCATGTATTTTCGATCTTTCCAATCCAGACGAGAGCTCTCTCTCCCCCGTCTGTGTGTGAGGGGGCGGGGCAGTTTACACACACGCAGCTGCTACATGCAGCAACACACACACACAGCGGAGATGGCGGAGAGAAGCGCTCCAAGGTGTGGTTAAATGTTACCCGTGGTTAAATGTTATCCGTGTCGATTTGGACAATGCTCGTTGCCAAAAGTGCAATAAGAGTTTAGCATGTAAGGGCGGTAACACGAGCAATTTGTCTAAACATTTAGCAAAAGTGCGCCACATTCAGACGGAGAAATGCACCGTTTTCGACTGTCTTTCTAGTAACTCTATAGCCCCCCCATCCACGATGGCTCCGAGTGTTAGCGAGGCTTGCTAATGTAAACAAAGATGAGATTATGTCCAAAACAAGGCAGGCATTGTTTCTGACAGGAACTTTCTGTGGGTCCGCCGCCGATTTGACGTCATATCGGCAGCAAATCTGTATCTGCTTGTTGTAGCCCCGTTTTTAAAAGATTTGGGTACGGAGGAAAAGAGAAAGGGTTTTATTTTCTGACGCTGCGTGAGTTCCCCCGACACACCGGGGACACATATTTATGTATAAAAGACATCAAAAAGTGCATTTTGCATGATAGGTCCCCTTTAAATGTAGATATAAATGTATAATTTTAAAGTTCAATAAATGGATGTTTTCAAAGTCAATGAATAATCGTATTTAATAATCGTGATATCAATATTGACCAGAAATAATCATGATTATGATTTTTGCCATAATCACACAGCCCTACTTGACTATGTGAATCTTTTATCTGATCTGATCTGCTATCCTTGGTTTAAAATGTTGACGGACAGATTTTGTATTTATCTTTCAGCAGAAAGTTTAATAAAATATGTATTTTTGAATCAAGTATTCATCTTAATTGTTAGTTTCCACATGCTTAAAACAACCTCAAGCTAAATCTAAAAGTTGATGGCTAAATAAGAGCATTTGAGAAATTTTGCAAGGCATAATCCGAATAATCGATTATCAAATTATTCGTTTGTTGCAGCCCTAACTGTAAGTCTACCATGGGCATATAAGAGTAAGGTTATTGGCTTTTTTACAGTTAGTGGAAACTATATAGTGCTGGTTTCTTGAGTGGGTGTGCACTTCATAATTCACTGTCAGTGTTCAATTTTAGACCAATAACAGCAATATGAAACAAGCAAAAACTGTTCAGCCTAAAAGTACATTTCTATTAATTTGGTAATACATTTTACTAAATGTCCATATGTATATGTATATAACCACAGTTTTATGACAACCTTACGTTTATTTTCAGTAGTTTGTGCATATCCGTATCTATGAAGTATTTTCATAATTACCATGGAAAAGTTCAAAACTGTTTTAAGTACAAACATCGAAAACAGATTTTTTAATTTAGTTTGAAGCATTTCAAGCAACATGTTTCCGACTGGATAATCTTTCAAGGCTTATTGATCAAAGCCAGCAGCGTCCCATCCTTAAGCAAGCCCGGGGTTATGGGTAAACCTAGATGCTCGATTCTGTTCTCTCTTTTTTGACCAATCATAAATAGTTTCCAAACGTAGTAATATCTCAGACCAAAAATTACACTTTTCCAAGAAGCACATTTTCCAAATAAGCACATAATTCAAAATATTTTAATGGTGTTTCAAATTGTTGTCATGAACAGAAATCAAACCAATTAACTGTGACAGCCATAATTTCTCACACTGCAGGGTTCTATATTCTTGCAAAGTATCACATGGAGATAACATGGATGTTTTTTTTTATATATATAATTATAATTAAATTAATTAAAGGTCACCCAATCTCAACAACCCTTAGGTAGAGGGTTTTTATAATGTACCATAAATGCATTTCATATAACTGACACGTATAGCAAATTACAGGCATCTCACACACTGGGGAATATACACGACAAAGCTTCTCCTTTTTAAGTCTGGGAAAACACTTGCAAGACAATTAAAGCTGAAGCTTTTTTTGTTTGTTTTGGAAGATGGTGTAGCGAGAAAGATACATTTATTCAGAATAACAATTAAGCTGCATCAATGTCAGAACTTTACAATCCTCGGGACGTTTTTTGATTTAAAAAATACTGTAGAAAACAACCTGTATCACAACTAGCAGGAAAGAATAAGCACTTTCCCTGGCAGCAAAAACAATGGAACTATACCCCGTTTGTCTCTACCCTGACACCTCGTCAATATATAATACGCAAAACAGTCTCACTCAAAAATGTTATCTTCAAAAAATAGAAGTTCTAAAAATGCATTAAAAAAACTTTAATTAAAAGAAAAGGTTTTTCATATAACAATACATTGTATATACTTGTACAAGTACTGAGGGTTTAACATGCATTGTTTAAGCTCTATAAAGTGTAATTATGTATATATATACACACAGTATATGCGCTTGGGCATGTGTTTATCTTACAATGACCAGCTCTGTTAACAATCAATTACTTTAATTAAGGTCTAAGCCACACTTGGAATTTGGGAAGCCGTGGTTAATAATGTATGCTTGATCAATGTTAAACTAGAGACAGTAAGCACCTGCCTCACATCTTCTAATACTATTTGATTAAAAGTCTCTGAGGCTTGCTGCTAGCAATCAGAAAGTCAGGGTCAACTGAGCTCCTCAGCACTGCCGATTCACATGTTCTCAATAGAAAATGTGTAAGATACCCACTTGATTGGGCAAAATAAGATGGCTGAAGCTTCAGAACAGCTTTGGCCGAACTTCAGAATGCAATTTGTGCACACTGTGGAGTTTGATCCACATTGATTGTGCATATGGCAGCCATCATTACAACTGTTAAGGAGACCATTTACACTGACCATTAACTCTTTAGATGCACATATAGGCATGTAAATATTGTGTAAGGCACAGTAGACTTGAAAAAGTATATCTGTGTATAAATGTCTTTCTTTGCAAGAAATAGCCTTGAACACTGGTTCAGAACACTGAATTTGTTTGTATTATCTATATCTCGCCACTCTCCTAAGGCCCCGGCCCCACGGGAACAAAAACGGGTTGTATCCGCATATTTCTCTTGCGTATAGCCCTTTTTGCCACACGAGGCCGTAACGAAACGATAGAAACGGACCCCGCAAACGACAACGGGTCCAAAGGTGGATAGATCTGGGAACGGAGCGCTCTGGGGGGTCCAACGGCTCCGTGTGATCGCCTCTATACGATCATTTTGTGATAATGATGACGCAATAGCCCTGCCTCCCCCCACCTCTGCTGCTCACCCCCGCAAAAGTACACTGCACACTGAATTCAGATTATTTATCTTTATCTCGATATGGACATAAACGCGAGTGAAGTCTAATCTGACAGGACGGAGACACGCAGCTCCTCCCGCTGTGATGCAGCGGGAGCAAAACACACACTTCAAGTCAGATCATCACCCTTAGCTATTTTAATTACCTCTCAAACTACCTAAACTAGTTATAAATATGTTTATTTTTACTGTCGGGTCATCATTACTGGATCAGCTGCTGCATGAGACAGACACTGACGCTGTCAGAAGAGAGGCTCCGTATATTTTATTATTATATATCAATATATAGAGTCGTTATTCATTTGTATTAAAGCTCAATAAATAACAAAGAAGACCTTTGACCGGCACTTTTATAATTTTGTCCGGAAGATTTAAACTTTAACACACGTTGACCGGCGAAAAACTCTGCCCGGTTCCCCCCACCGCGGTGAATAAACAGAAGCGCAACCTTGACAACCATGCTTCTTCGCTGCTTTTGTGGAGGAAGTTGCTGCTTTTGTGGAGGAAGTTACAGCGCCACGTACAGGCTCGGCATATGTATTGCAGCTTTTCCAGCGGTTGGATCTAAACGGAGCTGTCTCGTGTGGGCAGACACTATCCGGTGTATATTGCGTGTGAACGGAAGCTTTTTGGCGATTGCGTTTGCGTTAATCCTATGCGTTTTGCCGTATGCGTTCCCGTGGGGCCGGGGCCTAAGTCGTGGTGACATGGTGTATCACAAAGACAGAGCAGAGACATTTAAAAAAGGTAACACCAAGTAAAGCCCCATTTCATACACAGCAGGGGAACTGCAGACACCTTAACACAGTGGGGTTTCTAGAAGAAGTAGAATCATTTTGGTTTTTTCAAGACAACTACTGCTACACAAAACACTGGCAAAGGTCAACAAACATTTTGTGTAACACAATACATGACACGCGTCTCTCATGGCGAGGCAGTCTATCTCTGCCAGATATAGCATAATACAATGCAACTCAGTATGGTGGAGATGGACAGATGGTACCGGAGCTTGTTCCTCTCCTGTGAAGGTCACCGTTTCAGTACAATGAGCCAGACCTTGTATCAAATGGAGAATATGACACTTCATCCAGTTTGACAGTTTTTTTATTTTGCAGCTAGCCTTTGTGAAAGGACTTTCGGTATGATAAGAGGAGGAGAATAATTGAGAATTATAGATATTTAGATTAGAAAGACATAATGATAAGTATTATAACATTTCTACCTGATAACAAGTTAAGTGATAAATATTATGAGCATTTCATCTTAATCATTCTCCAACTAAAGAATGAAGTTAAAGATGCATGAGCACACAGTGAACACCAATATTTACATTTCATCTAAGCTTATTTGCATAATAAGATCTAAGATCTGCATATAATGCATCACAATCAATCAAAGTGTATTTATATAGCCCAATATCACACATTTTACATTTGTCTCAGGGGACTCTACAATATCAACAGAAAATAATTGTAATAAATGTAATAATAGCACGCAATCTTCTTGGACTTTAATTGCACAGGAGGCTTAAACGATTAAAATCAGCGAGTGATGTCCTGACGGGCTGCTATAACTATAAAAGCAACCACTTGTCACTATGCTTGCTGCGATTCAAAGCCCCAAGCCTTGAATATTCTTTGCATAAACACAATGAAGCCCCATGGCTCCAAAAGGCTTCCTGCGCCCGTTACAATAGCTTAACCTTGAGCGTATTATTGCTTAAGGGCCTGGCATTAGTCTGATTATAACATGAGAGCCTGGCCAGCCTCATAAAAGAATGCTTATTCTACCATGGTCTCGAGTGATTTAAGAATAGAAAGCAGAATTACATCCAGCCTGCCAGAGTAAACTGCACCTACTGCCACAAGATGTTAACTCAGTAATTACCCAAATGAGAAAGATGCTTTATGTCAATATGTTTGTATTCATAAGTCTTAAACATGCAATTTATCTTAGCCTGTAAATGTAGCATTATGAACAAATTATGTTTAGAAGGGTGTTAATGTGTTGCCTTTTGGCCAGTGGCAACATTATTTCACCATGCAGGTAAACACATGCCGGCATATAAACAGACTGGTCCCCATGGTAACTAGAGATGGACAGCCTCAGGCAGCTTTGGAGCGATGTCTGGTTATAGCAAATGAAATAAATTCAAGTCATTATGCCACTGCTCACATATAAATATTTTTAAAACATGTAAGATGATAATAATAATAATAATAATAAGATAGTGTCAGTTGTCTGCAATACAATGAGAGATTAATTCAGCATTGGTTGACTTCTGTGACATCTGTTAACAACAGTTTACTTTATTAAGAGAGATTAAGAGAAGTCATCTTAAAAAAGGTTAATATGAAATCAAATCAATACAATAAACACCTCATGTAGGCTACATTTTCATTATTATTCAAACCAAGTATCACAGACTGAACCCATATTAACTCTGGACACACTGGGGTAGATATTTAATGGATATCACATATATCACCGCAGGGAGTGTTACTGGTCGGAGAACATTAAAGTAAAGTATGGCCTATGTTGGTCTGGGAGAGAAACAATGGTCCACAGTTTCCATTTCTTTGGAGATTGAATCCTTTTTCTCTGAACTCTAACAGTTGTATCACCCTCTATCAAGAACCGTCTGTATGTTTGAAGGGGGAGTAAAGGAAAAGCTTAAGGCTCAAAGCAGAAACTTTGAAGGAAGACCAGTCAACCATGATAGCAAACTCACAAAACATCATCAATTATCTTCCCGCACTCAAAAGTGTTGTCAAGAATGAATTCCAAACCTCATCCATTTGTGTTGTGAAGCACTTTTACTCAAAGGTATCAACAATTAATGTTGTGACGCACTATCAGCCAAAAGGAACAGAAATTATTAAAGCGTAAAATCTATTTTTGAATGGGGTGAGCTAACATAGATAAAAGGAGATAAAGAGGCTTAGGTTTACTTTATGAATGCAAAATAAAGGGTTCTTTGTGGCGGTGTACAAACATACAGAGAAACATATTCTACTAAATGCAACAGTTTATGAATACATGCAATAATAGTTTTCCATAGTCATATTCATTATCTACTGTTGCATCTGAAACGGCCCTCAGCCTGACTTCTGGCACGGTGCCTGGAGGACTGTAAGCCCCGCAGCTCTATGGGGAGTGGGCTCTATCGCTCCACAACATCAGACAATCCTCACTTATTTGTTGTAAATATTTAGTAAATATCATTTTAAGTACTGTTTTATACAATATGGTTAGATTTATTTCGCATTTTGTTTTGAATCTGTTAAATAGTGTTGTCCTCGACACAGTTGTGTGTATTTCTACCAATATGTCCGAGAGCAGGTGTTACTACGTCTCCAGATAGACATGACAAGACAAATGATATCGCACTGGCGTGAGGTCAAATTACTTTTTCATATTGAATGATCAAATTCCATCCTCCTCAGTCTCTCTCAGGCAAGGTCCCATGTGAGACATCATTTTTCATTGAAAAATACACAGAATGATATAATATGTGCCGATGGTACGGGCGAAGCGATATGGTCTTAGTAAGTAAGGCAGCAAAAGATAAGGAAGTAAACATTTTTTTAATAGTTTTTAAAAAACTTACAGTTTTGGAGGCAGTAAAAACATACTGGATGACCATTTCCCTCTTGGTGCTGAGGTCCTTGTCTCTCAAAGGGGTCTTTTTTTCCTCATTCAAGTTCATGTCCTCCTGAAAAGGAAAAATAAAAAGGAAGATATAATTGTTTTGACATTTTAATTGAATCATTTAAAATGCAATGTTCTTTGAGGGTTTTTTTTATATCAGCAAACCTCTGGCAACCTGACTTGATTTGTTTTATCCAACAGCGTATTAATTATACGATACTTTAGCAATAAATGCTCAGGGCTAAAGTGTTAGCATAGACAGCTGATCCTTACCTAGCAAATTCACTTTTTGCTATTAACTTTTATGTAATTAATTGAATATGCAATATTGGGCAAAATGTTAGACAGTGATTTAATTCCTGAAATGGTATTAGTTCAATTGAGGGTGATGTCATATTAGAGGGTTAGACATTATTGCATGAACAGCAGAACAAAGTCCTATGTTACAGAGAAAGCCTGTTAGTATAAGAGTGTTGCATTATGGGGGAGCCTTAATGTGGTTTTGCGAGTGTCTACCTGTTCATCTACAAAAAAGCATGTCTGGAGGTAGTCAGGCCCAAAAGTCTCAAGTAATTTCACTTCCTTGAGTTATCTACTTTCCAATGACGAGTGATTTCAGTTCTATGCAGGACATTAACAGTGTATTACAAATGAGTAAAAAAAACAGTCATCTCCCAACATCTCTACAGCAGTTCACCCAGCAACCCTCTGGTATCAAATAATGCCCTTTTGCAAAATAGCTAGCCAAAAAAGTATTTGAAACACTAACAATCAGAGAAAATCTGTTTCTGGTCCTCAAGTGGAGGCAAGCAGTTTACTAAAAAACAGGGTTAAAGAGAGTCTATTATTAGAACCATCATGCTGCTGAAAGATTTGTCATATTTGTCAAGTAATTACATTTTAAAAAGTGTAAAAATTATTTCCTGTATTTATATTCAAAAATATGAAAACGCATTTAAAAGATTTTCACTGTGGCTTTGTCTTGCTTTAAAATATTGGATTTACATCAAGCAACTATATTGGTTTTTTAAGAAAGTTTATTACAGCTTAAGGAAAATTTGATTTATTTTGAATGCCAGTGACATTAAAGCCTAAATATTAATTGTATGATGTTACACTTCATTGTCAGACAAAAGTTGATCATCCTCCTTCCCAAGTTTGAGCCTTTAAAAGAGTGAGTCAAGAGATTGTAATATCAATTAAGGCCTTATTTACGATCGTTGTATTAAATGCCTTTAGAGGACTTCAAGGAACCCTGAAAAATATATTGTACAATAAAAAAAATAAACATACCATCATTTTTTCAAACAGAGCCAAGATCTCCTTTTCTGAGGTGATCTTTGATGAGAGATCCTCAAACTGATGTGAGGTGGATGATGAAGCAGTGGACCAATCATTGGCATTTGGTTTAGGGTGAGATAACGGTGGCCGCTCCTTTTTACTCCCTGGGATCCGAATACTGGCGAATCTGTCCAGCTGAACAAACAACAATGAAAACACACTTCAAAACATGAAAAGTACAAAATAAATGTAGTGATAAGTACACAGAAGATGCAAAGTGAACAGAAATGGTTAGATATTCAGAACAGATTAGCAACACAATTAGTTTATTAATGAGTAGGAATGTCACAATACCAAAAATTAACTAGTTTACACCAATACCAGTGAAATTCCACTATTCTCAATACCCATTTAATAACACGGTAAAAACAACGAAAAAAAAGATTCCATGTACTTTAACATACACTTCTTTATTACTGCTCGTCTACTGGATTTGTTAAGAAGTTATACAGCTCATAATTCCCTCTCTATTAACCATTTGACATTTACATATCTCCTTCTGAAAACTTTATTTATTCCAGTATCTCAATAAGGTAATGTTATATTTACATTAGCCTCATATAAATGTTCAATAAATAGTTTGTCAATAGCACCTCTATTCACCGGCAGCTAACAGCTAACGTTGAGCAGCTTTCCTCCTGCTGATTTAACAAAGATTTGTTGAGGACATTTAGCATTTTAAAAGGAAGAGTAGGATGTCCCCTGGTTGCATTAATAGTGAGTTTTATGGGTCACAATCCCTGGTTCTATCGTCACAGTTAATCTGGAGCCCTGATGTATTTATGGCACATTTCCAAAAAGAAGAACCGCCCCTTTTTCTTTCTTTTTTTTTGCATTGACTTGGTTCTGGTAGTATCGTTTCTCATGACATCCCTTATAATGAGTTAGAAAAAAACTTATATTAGTATAAACAAAGAAAATACAATACACAGAACATATGTTAAACATACGATGAGCAGAGCACTACCTAGAAAGTATGTAGAGTAAACAGTAACATTAGTAGATGAGACAGGCAGTGAGTGTTGTTCTGTGCCGTTAATAAATCCAAAGTCAGGCACAAAAGACCAATTATTTCAAGCAGATTAGATGACTTTTAGTGATGTTAGATGTTGCTGACAAGAGACTGACAAGAGAATAGACAGCATCAACTTCTCAAATCTTACCACATCATCTGTGATGTTTCTAAAGGGTAAGTGCTAAAGGTGGGGAACAGAAAAAACAAATCAGGAAACAAAAAGAACCTGCATGAAATGTTAAACCAGCCTAGAGCAGATTACTGTTATTATTTTGAAAGAGACATCTTTGATTGCTCACTTAGTGAAAAGTGTTGGTTCTTTAGATTCTGCATTAGAGAATTAACAAGGTAATGTTGTGGTGTTGTAGCTTTAGGAGAGAAGGATACAATAAAGTCTGAAGGGATAAGGACCTGGAACTCTTGATGTTGTTTTGTCCCCACAATGTTTCACTCGTACAAATAAAGACACATATCCTTTAAATTGCCATCTATGGTTTAACTAGATATGATGTTAAGGTATGCAGTGGCTATCAAGGCTTTGTTTTAATGGACCTAATGTTTGCCAGCTTAGTAAAGCCTAAAGTACTGCACATTCCCCAGGGGCCTGTACTATCATCACCAAGCACAATGGGTGGGTGCCAAATGTCCGGACAAAAAGCTAAATCTTCTAGCTACACCCAGCAGGGCAGTTTAGCAAATGATTCAACATATGTTAAAATATCTCCACCAGATTGACATGGTAATCAACATCAAGGGGACTAAATAATTATAAAACTACCTAAAAGAAAGGCCTTCTCTAACAAGCTCCTTGTTGTAGAAGGGGAGTGCCTGCCGAACAAGTTTGTCTGCTTTTTCTTTGTTTTTTCCTAGACTTAATGTTCAGGTTACCATCTGTATTTCAAACAGGTGTAAGGAGTCAAAAGGGCCAAAGGAATGATCCTAATAAGGAATGGTAAATCAATACAGAAAATATTGAATTTCAAAATGTTTTCATAAAATGAAATGTTGAATGAAAAACTGACATGGAAAGGTTACATTTTCTTCAAGCATAACAGCAGACGGTACAGAACCTCAGAGAAATAAATCAATACACACCAGTGTTTAATTAATATAAAATGGCCGGGAATAAAATGTGTCAGCCTGTCAATAAGCCATCCCCCTAATGAGTGTTTCCAGATTAACATCGTACAATTTTGTTCAAAATGTGCTTGAAAGCAGACAGAGAGTTGACATGGGAGAATATTAATAAAATGACCCACCATAGGAATTAGTTGTCTCCACAGATCAGCTTGACAATTGTGCAAACTAATTGGACACAGCTGTCAAACTTTTACCATCAAATGCCCACAGCTTGACGAGCCAGTGTAGTGCACTGTACTGTATATGGAACAGCACCCAAGCTAAACATTAACTGTTCTGAAGTTATATTGTCATATGCTTAGTATTATATAGTGAGTATGCTCAAAAGTAAATAATCAAGATATCATGAAGTACATGAAAGAAAAACTAGCGTAAGGTTTACATTAAGCATATAGAGTAGGAAATGAGGACGTGTTATTTCACACATCTCTACTTCCTTTCCCCTACACTTTGCGGGTGATAAAAGGACAAGCTGACTTTCTTAACGCTTTGCCGAACGTCATCATAATTGAGCTTTTCAACCTCATGGAAACAGCCATCGATCGCAATTGGATTTTAGGGGCAACTCAACAGCGACCTAGAGAGATTTAAATGTATGTCTCTTTCAATAGTAAACTGAAACTCAAGACAAAGGCTATGCCGCTGCTAATGCTTGTTTCATTTTAGAACTACATCTACTAGTTTGACAGCTTGGTCAAAGTGTCATGTTGCACTGGTCAAACTCATGTGAATGTGGTTAACATTTTTCAAATGTCTGCAAAAAACAGACCACATCCATATCACGATACACTGCACAACTGCTTCTCCTGCACTCCATGGGACATGAAAAGAAAACTTTTTCTATTTTGGATAGAATGCGCTGAAACTCCCTCCGACGCTGTATATGGAGGAAATGTGCCGTAAGAGCATAAGGGAACGTAATGCTAGAAGGAAAAACAGAAGCTGACAGCTGGAGAAAACCTCCCCCAACAGCATCCTTCAACAACTGAACTTCTAGGTTACTTGTTGTCTCAGTCCTTTCACTGCTAACGCAAACAAGTGATGGCCTAGTCCGAACAGTCAAATAAACCGTAGCAGTAACTTAGTCCTTAGTTCCGGCAGGATTAATGCAATGATATATGATTAGGACATAATGCCACGTCGATTTTCATTTTTTTCACAATTGTTGCTACTTGTTTTAAACAGTCTAACCCCAGGTTAATCAGTGCCTGTTAACAAATACTTACAAAACAACAAATACCATTGTGGATGCCCTGAAGTCAGCTTTAGAGCCAGTTAATTAACTAGCAACGCTTTAGTGTTTGTTCAGATTATCAAGATCTCACTATTGCAACTCTTTTCATAAATAGACTAAATAGCATGGCCTGACCACAGTAATTTGTCAATATCAGTAAATTCATTTTACTTTCAGCTATCACCCTGTTCATTTAATTAAACTCTGATAACATCTTTTTCAATTAACTGGGAAAACTACTTCAAGAGAAAATGCTGATTTATAAAAGGTGGCGCATGCTTTCCAATACTGAAATAGATGTAAAAAAGGAGAAGGGAGGCTTCATGGAGCTTGGGGAAAACAACATTAAAGAATTTCAGACCAAACCCAAAAGAAGACAGCATCCAAAGACATCTCATTTTGAAAACATATTTCTTTGGCAATTCCACAAACCTAATAGGGTTGTGAATTATCAGTGTAAAAAACTAAACCTTTAAAAAGAATTGCCTTAAAATAAAGATTTAAATGAACATTTCCTGTAGAAATCCCCATTTTCTTAACATAAGGGGTTCCTTTTTCTCCATGGTTGGGTATGTTCAGGGGCTAAAAATGTTATATAAATATCATCAAAATTCCAAAATGCCCAACATTTGTTTTCTAAACTTACAGTACATGGAGATGAAAAACAATTGTTTTACTGTCCGGTAAAAAAGGTTTAAGGTTAATAGAATATGTAAATTGAGTGTGTCACATAATTAATTCCTTTTGAGTTATTTGAGCATGTACATTCAGTAACATTGCCCTTTAACACTTAACATTTTCCCCAAACATTAGTTGAATAGAACAATGATAATAAACGCCCATTAATGAGACCATAAAATGTTATTAGAGCTTCCACTGAAGACAACTGTTGAAAATGAACAGTCCTTCTGACCCTTTTTAACCTGCAATTACAAAAGGTCAAAACAGCATATCAAAAGAACATTAACACCGTGCATTTACATGTCTTCTGTTCTATTTCTCTTTAATTTGATTATACTCGGCTTAAAAATAGCCACTGAACATAAAGTGGCCTTTAATAGCTCATCTACTTTCTACCAATTGCAGTAAATGTTGTGGTATTGCAGTGCCCCCTATTGATATGACTAAAATAAGGAATGCCCTTAACTGGGAAAAAAAATATGTACAACGTTTTTTTAGTATGTTTTTATAATAATAGTTTTAAATCATAAATGTTGTAAGACAGACCAATCTAAAGACAGAGTAACTAAAGGCTGTACCTCAACAGGTACATGTATTATTTAGTGAGACTAAATAACATCATGTCCTTTGGTTGAGTATTTCTGACAGTTAGTTCTATAGAACAAAATGGTGAGTAGTTAGACATTCAAGGCTCTCTGGGAGGCAACATGGTCTCAGCTCAGTGCACTGCTTTTTGTCTGGTATATCACAAGGAGAACCAGAACAATAACTAAAAGCCTTAAATGTGTATTTCAGCTCTTGTAAGGATGCGTAGCTTTTCTCTCGTGTTGACAATGGTGAAAACAATCTGGCTAGAGTAAGCTGTCAGTGTGAAAAGAAATGTCTGTATGTTTTCCAGCTGGTATTGTTTTTCCTTTGATGTATACCACACTGTCTTCAGTGTGTTCTGCCTGCAGTATCTTATCCTAGATTAATTAGGTTTCCAAAGGTTAGATTTATGACAAAATAATCTCATCTCCAATTGAGTTTGCTCAGTTGTCATGGAGATGGCTTCATTCATTGTCATCATATCCATAGATTAAAAGGTGGTTAAATGGGATGTTAAACTGTGAAAAGATGAGGATGAACTTCCCAACTTGTCATAATGACAATTGACCTCCATGACAACAGTGTGAACTCCGTCTGCGGATCAAAACTATGAGCTTCTGATGAAAGCTCAACAAAAGCTTTGAAGGGGTTATTGAGATTTAAAAATAATATTTATAAGGTCATGAAATATCATTCACTCTCTAGGACTGGATAAGAGGGACCTGGTTAGGTAAAACACTGATTGTGCTTACTCCCATTTTCAAACCAGGACTGGCTATACTCTATCCAAAAAGAAATATTTATATCGTCATTTATTGTATCCATCATTATTACTGTATTGTAACTTCTTTTTAGTGTGCATAAACCTAATCAGAGTAAAGTGATTTATTATTATATTTAAAAATTGATATCTAATAAAATGTTTTGTGCATTCATTCTGAACAAGTAAACCATAACGTTACTTTTACACACATGTAGACATAGGATAATGTACATTGCCAGTCAATCTGAATGCTTTAACACACTAGAGCTGCTGTATAGGAAAAAATGAAATAACTTCTATTATGATTTGGCTCTATATAAAAATGACAAAAATTGATCTGACATGAACCAAAACCAACCAGACTTTCAAGTAGCACTTAACTCGTATTGCAGTGGGGATGGTGTTTCTATTAGTGATGTAAATGATAAGACTTTGGGATAACAGGCTGGATTGCAGAACCATTGCTGTGCAGACCTTTTACTACGATTGTAGACTAAAATCTCTGAATCCCGTCAACAGGGTATTAACTTGTGTGAGCTCTCTCCTAAGAATGGGGTCAAAGGAAGGTTGAGCGTGCGTTAAGTAGATCTGTGTCATACACATGTCTCCTGTCTGACAGGTGGCTCTGTGTGTTGCTAAAGGAAGTCTGGATGCTTTGAGAAAGAGACTGCTATAGAATAAGTCTAAATGGCAACCAACACCTCCCTATATCGACCAGAAGAATAAAGCAGACATTCACCAGTCAGACACAATGTTGGTTGGTTTGTGATAGTAGGAAGGACATGGATTAGTGTAATGGCTAAACCCTGTGCTAATTTTAACCTTTTGATTTCCTACATGCAAATTCAACACAGTAATTGTTATTCTCAATAAAAATGATACAGTAATAGATTGCGTTGAGTATGAGCTATACTGAACTGTAGGCAAGATTATTCTGCGACAGATCATATGTCAAGTAAGTACACTAAACAGTGAAAACACTTCCACCTCAGTTCTGCAGCTTTAGCTGTGAATTGCTCAAACTTAACCCAGCTGAATATCTGTGTTGAAACAGTAAGAAATATAATACATTAATACAGAGTCATTATGACATTCTAAATACAACTACTATATAGAAATAGCACATTTGCACGTGTTCGTGTGTGTGCGTGTGTGTCTGTTCATTACACGGGTAGTACAAATGACGTAGAATTGTTGACATGTTCACATGACATCATTTGGAAAAAATGAAATGGTTTCCTACCCCCACCCTATTGTAGTTGTACACTAACACGTCACTGCAGTCTTCATTTACAATAAAATAAAACACAACATACGTTACAATTTAGTCTGCCATACTTACAAACTTTGGTTTGCGGTCTCCATCATCGTTTAATGTGTTGAGGTTGGAAGAGCCTTTCTTCTTGTGAGGTTTACTGTCTCGTCCGGAAGTGGGTTCAAACCGCTGATTATAACTATCCATGATTTTTGACGTTACGTTAATGATTTCTCCACTAGATATCTATAGCAGATGACCAGCCTTGATATGTATCTAATGCTCGCACACACCCTAAAAGTCTGAAGGACGCCACCCACAAAAGAGCCTACATTACCACTAACGTTGTAAACTTTGGGTTAAAATCACATCGGTTTGTCAAAGTCAGAGACGTCCATAGGGATATGTTCACTCTCAACCATAGAGTGGTAGAATATCTCAACACCCCGTTTAGCTAACTAGCTACAGTAGCAACTTTGCTAAACTATCACTCACTGGCTGCTTTACTTAGCGCTAATCCAATTTAAGGACTGTCACGTAATGCGTGAGTTTCCGCGAACAGAAAGACTGTTGCATCCAACGTACCGTTGGTGTCCTCTGAAAAAAAAGATCCGTACAGTAATTCAAAGCTCTATACAAATTACAAACTGTAGCTGAAGCGTTGGCTGAAAAAGTTATGGTGCAGATATTTTTTTTGACAGACCCGCGCAATGAGAATGTCAGCTGAGCGTGTTTGATCTAACCAATAGCATTCACTGAGACACAAAAATGGTATCGTCATTGGCACAGCCCCCTCTGTGTACGGTTGAAAAGACATTTGATTGGCCGTATGGAACTGTCAATCAGTTGCACTTTGTAAAAGGGTTGTTCGCTTTATACACCTGGGTCTCCCGTCGGTGTGATGGTTTTTGTAGCCTGGGTCTACCCAGAGCCGTATAATAGAATATGGCGCTGGGTCTACCTTATAAGCAGTCATTCCTGTGTAGTGCCGAATATAATTTGCAGATTTAAATTGCATTACAATTTATCAATTTAGTGAAGTCTTTTAGGAATCAACCCACAGGGCACATTTTCATTATTGGAAGCTGCCAAAAAACAAAACGCTATAATCACAAAACGCTTCAAAGTAGCCTACAAATATAGTAATTGAAGGGTCTCCTGTAAATATGTTTACAATAAAACACAAAGTCATCCAAAGAGACGCTAGAATTTGCACTATTTTGGAAGCCATTCTTAAAACTATTAATATTTATTTTTTTGGAAAAGCTTAAAGGGCCCATGTCATGGCCATTTCCACTGATCATAATTACATTGTTGAGGTATACTAAAATAGATGTATACTGTGCAATCTTCCAAACTCACATTGGTTTCGCATACAGCATCTCTGTCAAGCATGTGTATTCAGCAGTATTCACTTTCTCCACTAAACGACTCGTTGGAGCTCTTGCCCCCCCCTCCCTGTGAGCCTAGTGTGCTCCGATTGGTCAGCTCGGCCACTCGTTCTGATTAGTGATGGGAATTCCGGCTCTTCTTGGTGAGCCGGATCATTTGGCTCGGCTCACCAAGAAGAGCCGGCTCTTTCGGCTCCCAAACGGCTCTTCAGTTTACCACATATTATACCTTTTATAATTCAATCAAATGTAGCCCTGTTTTGACTAATGATTTATATGTGTACACATATCACTTAAATTATTCAATACATCCTTTGTACTGAAGTATTCAAAAGTAAAAATTACATGTTTAATATCAATTATTTGCTGTGGCCAATTGTTTTCATTGCATTTACAGACCCTTGTATCTCTCTGATACCACCCCATGAATGCACTGACTTGCTTGTAGAACCACGCTACACAAAGCAGATAGCAACACCTATAAAAAACCCGAGGTGACAGGGCTTTCAGTGTTGCAGCTCCTAGACTGTGGAACAGCCTCCCAGTACATATCCGGACTGCTGAGTCTATTGAACTTTTTAAATCTCAGCTAAAAACTCACCTCTTTGCACTGGCTTTTAATACTAGTTGAACATTACATTTTTACATTTGTATGTGTTTTTTTTAAAATATTTTTCTAGTTATTGTGCTTTTTATCATGTTTTTAATTATTGTTTTATTATTGTACTCCCATTGTGTTATTTAATATTTATTGCCTGTACAGCACTTTGGTCAACTGAAGGTTGTTTTAAATGTCCTATATAAATAAATAAAGATTGAGATTGAGATAAAAACTTAAGCATAGACATTTAAAAAAAGGGGCTACTGTATCGACATTTTAAAATTATATTTAAAGAAAAGGCCCTGACAAAACAGCAGGGCTCTATTTCAGTATTAACTATAGAAAAAAAGACAGCAACAGCTGACATCAAATCTTTGCAGAGCCCAAGGATAATCATAAATAAATAACATAGTGAAAATAAATATATTGCAATGCTCAGTACAGCAGCATCCAACCGTCTCTAATCATACAAAAACATAATACAAATAAATGTATTGCAATGCTCAAAACAGCAGCATCCAACAGTCTCTAATCCTTGGATATTACATGTCACTGCATGCATGCACGCACGGAGCAGCTGTAGCGCGGAGATCATCATATCATTCTGTCTTGTATTACTTAACAACAACAAAATAACAAAAAAAAAACGGCTCGTTCGCGGGCGCGAGCCGGCTCCCGTCGTTCACTTAAAAGAGCAGGCTCTTTGAGCCGGCTAGTTCGCGACCGACACATCACTAGTTCTGATTAGTCAACCACCAGAGAGGCTGCGCCCATGTCAGTGCTTTTCCCGGCTGCTCTCAGCGTAACATCAGTCTTATCATGGCGTCGGTACAGCGGTATATTTTATATACATATATATTTTTAACTGTTGTTATAGAAGAGTGTGACGGCCTCAGGGCCTTTGTCTTACGGTGGGGTGGAGCTGAAGAGGGTAATCAGCGCGATCACGGACACCTCCGTAGCCGGTGCTATTAATCCCAGCGGCCCGGAGTCTCTCTCCAAAGCGGCTGCAGAAGGACGAACTGAGCGACCCTCTCCCCTCGACCACCTGTCTCTGCATTTACCACAATAAATGTGCCGTGGTTTTGTAAACTCGTGTATGTCTCCTTGTCTTTCCGTTGTGGCCTACGAGCTACTCTCATAACAAAGAGTAAGTTATTTTTACCCGTTATAAACTACTACTGTTTGATGAGAAATCAAATCATGGTTTGCTATATATGAATTCAGGGAAGAAAGGATAGGCCTACTAAGTATTTCCATTAAACTTTATTTTTAGAAATGTACAAAATGAACATAAATATACATATATACACGGTATATCATCCATTCCTCCTCCTCGCATCTTGCCTGCGCACAGTCGGTGCGGTGCCTTTTAGCACCCTCAGTAGTAGTAGAATCCCTTCCCCCGTCATGGATTGTCCGCCAGGATCTGGCTGGACGAAATCAAATGCAAATCACAAAATATTAGAGAAACTTAGTTGTTTTAGATTCGTTAGTAGTAGTTGTGTAATGAACAGCTTGCCTGCTAATATGCTAACCTAGCTTTGTTTACCTTGGTAGCTAACACGATATGAACGTTAGCTTGGAGGAAAGGCAACTATAATGCAGTGTAATAAAACTACTATGAACAAAAGCTAGTGGTTCATATTAGGCTAGCAATAACGTGTTTATAATTGCAATCGTATACGGGTATTCTGCTACGTTCGGTCATACAATGTAACTTGCATGAATACATTGTTTTGCGCTAGCATACAGCTAGCCTCGTTAGCTACATGCAGTATATGTACGGTCACAATGTACGGTAATCACAGTACAGTATACTGTATGAGTATTCCGTGTGTGTGACTGCAGACTTTCTCCTGCCATGACAAACATGTAAGGCCATCTGCTGACATTGTAGTTGATATATTTAAACGCTAGCAACGTAGCATCACAAAAATGTTTTTCTGACCAAAACTAGCTCTAGCTCCGTGTGTTAGATCGCTACGCCAGCTATAATGTAATTACGTTTCGCGACTGACCGGCAAATCACCCGGAGTATACTGTCAATAGGTATTTTGTGTGTGAATGCAGACATTCTCCTGCTATGAGATACATGTATGCAAGGCCATCTGCTGATATTAGAGTTGATATATGGAAACTCTAGCAACTTAGTGTAAGCATTGGGTTGAGAGGTCATGTGTTGTGAGCATGCGCAGTCGGGGCTAGAGTGGTGTGTGACATGTGTGTGACTCGACGTTAATAAACGGAGGCATCTGTGACGCTCCAAAAAGTACTAAGTTCCTGAGTTCTTGTTACACCAGAAGTATTCTTGAAGCCTTAACACCTCGGACGTTACATTGGTGGCAGCGGTATCGGAGTGTGTTTTATCTGCTCTTGGATTTTTCTTTTCTGTGGACAATTACTGGACTTTCTGGTCGGCTCTGCTGGCTAGCTGTGCTAACGGTGCTAGCGTCGAAGCGTCATGTTCGGAGGAATGAAGGGAGACGGCGATATGGAAGACGATTATAACGGATGTACTGCGGCTTGGACTGGTTCTGTGAGTAGTGATATTAGAGTGGAGCTGCCGCCGATGTTTAGGGGCGACGGCCAGAGGCAGTTCGCTACGTGGATAAGACAGTTTGAAGCCGCTGTTCGTGCTCAGACGAGGGGTGCGAGGGGCACGAGCTACGCAGCTACCTTGCTGAACATTCTACCTACCAGACTGGACAGTGCAGCTTTCCTACTGTGGGACAGTTTACCGGCAGATGTGCAGGGTGATTACGAACGTGTGAAGGAGAAGCTGGCGGCAGCTTTTGGCCAGAGACAGTTCCTGCTTTATTTCCAGACGTGTGTATCTGCACGGCCCCGCCAGGCGAACGAGTGTTTGGAGGTGTATGCGGCGGACATTTCCAGACTCGTGGCTGAGGCGTTTCCCGATTATGACCGCGCTGCAGTAAATGGTGAGAAATTCAGACGTTTTTTGGCTGGCCTTGATCCTGCACTTCAAGCAAAATGCCATGAACAGGGGGCGACTGATATGGAGGAGGCGTTGATAATTGCTGGGCGTTGTGAGCGGGCCAGGCAGGCAATGAGGTCGAACACGCCTGGTTTGCCCTACTGTCCTCCGCATCCTGCTGTTGTTGCAGCCCTAAATTCACCGTCGGCTGGTGTTTTCGACTGTAAGGCTAATACCACGGATAAGCTCATAAATGTGGTTGAACGCCTCACCTTGA